GATAATGATAATAATAATGCTGATTTTTTTTAATTCATTTAATTTTCAGGTGTTTTACTCGTACGGAGTGGGATTCGGAACATTGATTGCCTTGGGATCACACAATAAGAAATCTCATAATTGCTTCAGGTACATAGTTCATCATCATCTTTTTTCTAGTAGATATTTCGTCATTAGCGTATATTATAAAATATTTTGGAATGCTGAAGTGTTAGAGGAATTCCTAATTTTATATAATGCTAATACCTATAAGATATTAAATTTAAAAGAGAGGTATAAATAATTACAGAGATGGATTTATTATGTGTTTTGTAAATGGATCTACAAGTTTAATTGCCGGTAAGCTTTTCTTTTTCTTCAGGAATCTTATTTTCTTACTATATTTTATTCGAAGGTAAAAGCATAAGAAACGGAACAAATGATTAATTCATCAAATTTCATTGATGCAAGCAAATAGTTATTTGTATGTGAAAAACAAGAATTTAAATTTTTACATATGCCGGAAGTTACATTAAACTTTAATTAATTGATGGCAAAGACGACAAATTTCTTCTTGTTAATTTTAAATCTCAACATTATCTTTCTTTTAAATGTCCATTTATCCTACTCTACAGCAATGTCCTGAAGTCTCAACCTTTTCAGTCCCGAAAATGTTTTTTGTTCCTTTTTATTATAAAGTCAACAGGTGTATGTTGAATGTAATGGGCAATTTTGATGCTGTTAATTAAACTAAATAAATTGACAATTTCATTTTAGGCTTTGTTGTTTTTTCCATCCTTGGTTACATGTCGGTTGCAGTAGACAAAGATATTGCCGAAATTGTTAAACCAGGTTTAAATGTTTTCCATTAAATTTAAACAAATCCGTTAGCATTTTAAAACAACAATTACATCAGTGAAATTACAAGGAAATAAATTACCAGCTTATCAATTTTATATGAGTAATTGTTCTAATTCACGTAGTATACTAATTTGATCCATAAATTATAAAATTTAATTTTTATTTTTACAGGACCAGGCTTAGCATTCTTAGCATATCCCGAAGTAGCCAGTAATCTTCCGCTTAAACAAGTTTGGTCCATGCTATTCTTTTTGATGATTACTATACTCGGTCTTGACAGTCAGGTTAGTACTTCGTAAATAGATGAATGCATTTTATTTTGTGAATAAATCAGAAAAAAAAATTAGCATAATCTGATGAGAATTTCAGATTTGTATGCTAGAAGGCTTATACACCGCACTCGAAGATGTTTTCCCACATTTTTTACGAAAATACAAGAAAACATCACTTGCTATTACCTGTTTATTCTTCTTCCTCCTTGGCGTCCCTATGGTTAGCTACGTAAGATTTTAAATTTTCAACAAAATGCTAAAAAAGATTAATCACAGCATCTAATTTTTATTATAGCAGTGACATTTTTCTCTGTGTATTTTTTTAACTAACACATAAGCATTAAACAGACCTTCAGATACGGTAAATATATACTGTAATTTTGATGCATATACGGTAGATTTTGTAGATATTTCGGCATACTGTAGATCGTATTTATGTGTAAATAAATTATGCCTCATACTTTAGGTAGATTATGCACGTATTATAGAATGACTTTAATGCATATACGGTAAGTAGATCTATATTTTCATACTGTAAGTGAATTTTTGCATTTGTATTGTGAGATGGTTTTGATGTTATTCTACAGATGAATTAGGCTTTTACTTTAAATAGATTTAGTTATTTTTATACTGTAAATCGTAATTCCTATAGCAGTTAAATTAGTTTATACTTAATTTTGCTTCTTATGATTTGATTCTTTACTTTTGAATAATTGAGTTTGAATGAATCAATCCCAATTGAGAGTAATATTAAGGCTGGCTCATATTGGCTGATATTATTTGATGCATACGGCGCTAGTGGTATTGCGCTATTGTTTGTCGTATTTTTTGAAGTTGCCGGACTTTCATGGGGATTCGGTAAGTAATATTTTGACTATTGATTCATTAAAATTAATGGACAATTTATACAGTAAATCGTTTTTAACTGATAACATAATCTTGGAGTAATGAATTTTCCATATTTTTGCTAATTATTGATTAATTCTTGTAATTAATCACTCGTTCCAATGTCAGTTCATTTTTGAGGAGCACAGAAGGTACGTAGCGCTTTAAAAGAAATGATTGGTCTTGAACTTTGGTCATGCTGGATAATTGTTTGGAAATTCATTACTCCATCTTTTATTGCTGTAAGTTTTTTTTTGCACATTGAAATTAAATGCTGTGTTAGATAGTTTCAGGTATTTTACAATTTATACAAGGCTTTATTTTTCTTTAACAATGTTTCCTTTTTTATATTATACGCTTTACATTGATTTGGCTTGAAAAAAATGAGAAAATCGTTTCAAACTTTTGAAAAGTTGCAATTTTATATTAAGATGTAGAAATAAAGTCAAATTTTGCTCTTTTATTTGAAAATTTAATTTTTCTCTTTTTTTGCCTATTACTTTTCTAATTTTTATTGGTTAAAAAAAGAATAATTGATTATTTTCAGGTTTTGTTCTTTTCCTGTATTTACAAGTATCAACCGTTAAAGTATCCTAACGGCGAAAAATTTCCGATTTGGGCTGAAATATTTGGATTTTTTTTGTCGTCCTGCTCTATTATTGTTATACCAGGATATGCAATCTATTATCTTTTGTCCGTCAATCTTGACAGTTGCGCCAGTGAGGTTTGTTTTCTTTTTTTTTATTGTACTTTAGTGTTAACTTTTAATCTTGATAAATTGCTAACATTAAAATTATCATTCTTGCTGAAGTCTTCTCGAATAATATGTTGTTTTATGAGAGACCAATAAGTTTGAAATAGCTTTTTAAAATTTTAAAACTAATTAACGCTTCTTTAGTCAATTTTCAGCGCTTACGACGTGGTTTGCATCCACCGTCTGATTTAGAAACGGGATTGCCACCATCGATTGCTTTTGAACGACACAGTGTTGATTTGGAATACATTGATTGTGAATGTGCAAAATAATTATAATATAGACAAATTACAGTTACATATTTTGGAATTAACAATTTTTAAGTATAAATACTTTTTCATGAAAAAAGTTCAGTAGTTTTTGTTTTAAATTTTTATTTTAAATGAATTTTCAAGTGAGCGAATGCGATTTTATCAACAAATTTTAAATTATTTTATGTTTTGCTTTTTTTATATTTTCTCCAATTATTGCGTACCTGTTTTCAATTGCTATCAATTGTTTGAAATTATTTGAAATATGTATGCATTATTTGAAATATTAGCGCTCATTATTTCATCGATAGTGAGCTAAAAAAGCTAGCAACTGTTTTCAAAGAATTTTGATATTTACACCCCAAATTTTAGGAAAACAGAGAAGAAGAAAAAGGAATTAATCTATTAAACTAGAAAACAAAACAGCAAAATAACTAATTAAAAGGATGAAAATATTCATTGTTCAAAAAAAGACAACTAATTTGCTAAACACGAAAAAAATAATAAATAAAATCATTTGTTATAAAATGTATGACATTTGATTTTTCGATCCTTCTAATAATGTACATTGAATGTGTATATTGTTGCTTTGCTTCGCATCTCTCGCAATGAGAATTTATTTTGAAATTTAATTTTAATCTTCAACACCCAAATTTTCAATAACATTAATAACAACAAATGAGAACATGCGTTTAACAAGTAA